CAGTCTGTGTAGGCAGGAGAAAGCATTTCCTTAGTCTGCCCCTCTCCCGGCAATGTTTTCAGTCTGCTGCAGGCAGGAGAAAGCATTTCCTTAGTCTCCCCCTCCCCCGGCGATGTTATCAGTCTGCTGCAGGCAGGAGAATCCGTTATGTCGCCTACATAGACAGGAGCTGAGGGTTGCCAGTCGAACATTTTCAGGTACTGGAGGGGGCGGACTTTAGGCAGCTTACTGAAAAGAGGGAGGGACTCAGCAATATATGATACTTTTTCATTGTCCAATGAACAAGCAGGTGACACAGGAGCTGTAAAGCTGCACCCTCTGAGCAGTGGTGTCACCTACCTAGTGATACAACGTATCAAATCCCAGAGATTTCTCCGGTGGGTGTTTCCGCCGTTCCCCGGAGCTCATCATCATCAGAAGTTGAATGGATTGACGTCGCCGGTCTCTGGTCAGCATTCAGCCCTATCTACTACGTTCCCGCCATCCCATCCCATTCATAATTCCGCCTTCAGATCCAACGCCGCAACCCTCCCGGGACGTCTGCGCAAAATTAACAATAACATGAAACATTGAAGCTGTTTATTCCTCCGTGCGGCGGGCGCCTTCATAAATATTCATCCGCAAGTGGCGCACCCGGAATGAATCCGCGATGCACAGCGAGCCCCGCCCCGCCAACCTGTAGGGAGAATATCGGAAAAAATGAGAAGGAAAACGCCGAAAATAAACTTCACAGCAAAATCCTTATTGGACGGGATATTTCCCACTTTTAATGGTTTCTGCAATGAAGTGCGCAAGAAAGATCGAAGGTTGCAGATTAGTTCGGATACATTTTGTAAATCGTGTAATAATGTGAAGGGAAAGGATCAGAACTCAATTTATTTTTTTAAAATTGCTATCTGGAGCTCCGTCAGGGAGATTTCCCCTCACTTCCTGTCACAAGGACAACGGCTCCACCAAACAGGAAGTTAGGGGAAATCTCCAACAGGGATATAAAAAGCTGGTGGGGGTTCTAGCCTTCCCCCACTCTACCCACTTCCCTACCACCGTCCAAGTACAATATATTGCCCCAAGTATTGGTCGGCCCGCCCTTTCCACCACATGACCTTTAATGGCCCCCCAGTCTTAGTCCGTAGGGTTCAATATTGAGTTGGCCCCGCCTTTCCACGCACATGACCTTTAATGGCCTCCCAGTCTTAGTCCGTAGGGTTCAATATTGAGTTGGCCCCGCCCTTTCCACACACATGACCTTTAATGGCTCCCCCAGTCTTAGTCCGTAGGGTTCAATATTGAGTTGGCCCCGCCCTTTGCAGCTATAACAGCTTCAACTCTTCTGGGAAGGCCCCCACAAGGTTTAGGAGGGTGTCTATGGCAATCTGCTTCAGGGAATTGCTGGGCATCAGGAGAGAACCTGGAATGGGCATGCCTGTTCCGGTTCAGGATGAGGAACACTGTTGAGGGCAAACTTCACCCTTGATCTTCTGTGCATCTGTGAGGGACATAAGTCGCTGAGCTGTGACCTGTTCCAGGGGAACCTGGAATGGTCAGCAGAGGGGCATGAGGATGACATGGGAGCAGAGAACCTGTTGAGGGCAAACTTCACCCAGCCCTTGACTCTTCTGTGAAAGGTAATGAGCTGAGGGACATAAGTCGCTAAGCTGTGAGAAAGCCTCATCCTTGGCCCATTGCTTCAGGGGAACCTGGAATGGGCAGCAAGGATGAAGATGACACTGAGCACAGAACCTGTTGAGGGCAAACTTCACCCGGCCCTTGACTCTTCTGTGAAAGGTATTGAGCTGAGGGACATAAGTCGCTGAGCTGTGAGAAAGCCTCATCCTTGGTCCATTGCTGCAGGAGAACCTGGAATGGGCATGCAGGCAGAGAACACTCAGGGCACCCTATGTGCATTGGTTGTACCTGTTCCAGGTCAGCAAGGATTAGGATGACCCGGAGCAGTGAACCTGTTGAGGGCAAGCTTCACCCGGCCCTTGACTCTTCTGTGAAAGGTATTGAGCTGTGGGACATAAGTCGCTGAGCTGTGAAAAAGCCTCATCCTTGGTCCATTGCTTCAGGAGAACCTGGAATGGGCAGCAAGGATGAAGATGACCCTGAGCACAGAACCTGTTGAGGGCAAACTATATCCGGCCCTTGACTCTTCTGTGAAAGGTATTGAGCTGAGGGACATAAGTCGCTGAGCTGTGTGAGAGCCTCATCCTTGGTCCATTGCTGCAGGAGAACCTGGAATGGGCATGCAGGCAGAGAACACTCAGGGCACCCTATGTGCATTGGTGTACCTGTTCCAGGTTAGCAAGGATTAGGATGACCTGGAGCAGTTAACCTGTTGAGGGCAAGCTTCACCCGGCCCTTGACTCTTCTGTGAAAGGTATTGAGCTGTGGGACATAAGTCGCTGAGCTGTGAGAAAGCCTCATCCTTGGTCCATTGCCTAAAGAGAACCTGGAATGGGACTGCAGGCAGGGAACAGTCAGGCCAATTGATATGAACATAGACTATATTGCCCCAAGTATTGGGCCGTCGGCCTTCCCTGCACATGGACTTTAATGGCCTCCCAGTCTTAGTCCGTAGGGTTCAATATTGAGTTGGCCCCACCCTTTCCACGCACATGGACTTTAATGGCCTCCCAGTCTTAGTCCGTAGGGTTCAATATTGAGTTGGCCCCACCCTTTCCACGCACATGGACTTTAATGGCCCCCCAGTCTTAGTCCGTAGGGTTCAATATTGAGTTGGCCCCGCCCTTTCCACGCACATGACCTTTAATGGCCCCCCAGTCTTAGTCCGTAGGGTTCAATATTGAGTTGGCCCCGCCCTTTCTACGCACATGGACTTTAATGGCCCCCCAGTCTTAGTCCGTAGGGTTCATTATTGAATTGGCCCTCCCGATTTGGGCCATTATTTCGGAAGACAATTTTTTTCATCTCTGCTTGTGACGCAGGTGGAACATTTCATTTCCCGGCTGCAGCTGATGGTGGGGGGTGGGAACGCACAGAGCACGCGGAGGCTATAAGGCGCAGCGTCCTCCATATCTGCGGCTGGAATTCAGGGCGCTCATTTGTAACTTAGGCAGATGTGAAAGTGAAGCTCGGCCTTTTAGTTAAAGTGCATATCCTGCCAGGACCTTTTTTTTTGGTGGGAAGGATTGGCACCCCTGTTGCACTTTCAATGAGGGGAAATTTAGCAGAAATCTCACAAATTTTTTTTTTGTGGAAGTTTTCGGGAATTAAAAATTCTCCATTGCCCTCGTCCCCCTGCCAACCCCATCAGAATTTGTATCTAAAGAGGAAAACCTTTGTATCACTTTAGGTGAACGCGCCTTTAATTCATTCGGGGGCCGTATCGGGAATTCATTGCAGGTTCCTGGAGCGGTGGCGGCTCTGACAATGGTTGCCGAGATAAACAAGGGAAGTGGAGAGACGGAGACAATGCGGGTGAATAGAGGTCTGATTGCTCGAGAGCTGCCATTGTGACATCGCCCCCCCTCTCTCCAGGGGCCTCGTCCGCAGTGCAGCGCCACCTCCCCCCTCTTCATAGTTAATAGAATCCCATCCATTATAAGAGAGGAAGTCGGGTGGTTTATCTGCGAGCTGCCAATCACCTTCTGTTCTCCGAGTTGCCGGCCTCCGGCTCACTATTCGTCTTCATTGTTGAACTACGTGGGCCGTGCGAAGAAGAAACGCAGTCGGCTCCCCGCGCGTTACGTCTCTCTTTAGTCTGTCCGTCCTGGTCTCTGCGTCTATCCATCATACATGTCGTCCCCGGTCTTCCCCCACCATAGAAAAGTCCCAACAGGGCAGTCCCCAGCCTGGTGCACCACCACAGCCGGATATGACCTCCAAGGCCAAGTCTACTTGACGCGTCCATTGGTGTGCAACATGTCTTCACTGCTTGCGCCAAAAATGTGCTTGCATGCATTTTATAACGCAGGCAAATGGGAATCCAATGTGGTTTTGGAAAATGGAAAAAAATTACTGGACCTGTAGGGTCATCTCACTGGCAGTGCAAGCATTGATGGAGGTGGTTCAGTTCCCAGCAGGCGACTTCTACTCCCCAGAAGATCTCCATAGGTCTCCTTGGCTTGTAGTCTAATGTAACAAAGATGGAAACTGAAGCACCGCACCACCGCTAAGAGGTCCGGATACAACTGTATCCCAATAAAAGTCAGAGACAATTCAAAATATATCCAACGTGTTTCGGGGGTCATTCATCAGGCCTAGAAAGAACATAACAGACATCTCCATATCAACCCATTATCAATACAATTTTCCCTCCTTCGGGGTCATATTTAAAACCAATAATATTGGAGGCAACAAAATTATTATTACAAAATCTTCATACAAATAGACAGCTTCAACTCTTCTGGGAAGGCCGTCCACAAGGTTTAGGAGGGTGCCCAGGTATTGCCCGCCAGCCTTTCCACCCACATGACCTTTAATGGCCTCCCAGTCTTAGTCCATAGGGTTCAATATTGAGTTGGCCCCGCCTTTCCACACATATGACTTTTAATGGCCTCCCAGTCTTAGTACGTAGGGTTCAATATTGAGTTGGCCCCGCCCTTTGCAGCTATAACAGCTTCAACTCTTCTGGGAAGGCCGTCCACAAGGTTTAGGAGGGTGTCTATGGGAAGGTTGGACCATTCTTCCAGAAGCACATTTGTCAGGTCAGGCACTGATGTCGGGGGAGGGGGCCTGGCTCGCAGTCTCCGCTCTAATTCATCCCAAAGGTGTTCTATGGGGTTGAGGTCAGGACTCTGTGCAGGACAGTCAAGTTCCTCCACCCCAAACTGGCTCCTCCATGTCTTTATGGACCTTGCTTTGTGCACTGGTGGGCAGTCATGTTGGAACAGGAAGGGGCCATCCCCAAACTCCTCCCACAAAGTTGGGAGCATGAAATTGTCCAAAATGTCACCTTAAGAGTTCCCTTCACTGGAACTAGGGGGCCAAGCCCACCCCCTGAAAAACAACCCCCACACCATAAGCCCCCCTCCACCAAACCTTACACTTGGCACAATGCAGTCAGGCAAGTACCGTTCTCCTAGCAGCTGCCAATCCCAGACACGTCCATTGGATTGGCAGATAGAGAAGTGTGATTGGTGGTCACTCCAGAGAACACGCCTCCATGCTCTAGAGTCCAGTGGCGGCGTGCTTTACACCACGGCATCCGACGCTTTCCATTGCACTTGGTGATGGAAGGCTTGGATGCAGCTGCTCGGCCATGGAAACCCATTCCATGAAGCTCTCTACGCACTGTTGTTGGGCTCATCTGAAGGCCACACCAAGTTTGGAGGTCTTTAGCTATTGACTCTGCAGACAGTTGGCGACTTCTGCGCACTGTGCGCTTCAGCATGCGCTGACCCCGCCCTGTCATGTGACGTGGCCTACCCTGTCATGTGATGTGGCTGAGTGGCTGTTCCCAGTTGCTTCCACTTTGTTATAATCCCACTAACAGTTGAGCGTGGAATATTTAGTAGCCAGGAAATGTCACGGATGGACTTATTGCCCAGGTGGCCACCTATCACGGGACCACGCTTGGAGTCACTGAGCTCCTGAGAGTGACCCATTCTTTCACCAATATTTGTAGAAGCAGTCTGCATGCCTAGGGGCTTGATTGTATACACCTGTGTCCATGGAGGGGATTGGAAAACCTGAATCACATGATATGGAGGGGATTGGAACATCTGAATCTCATGATATGGAGGGGATTGGAACACCTGAATCACATGATATGGAGGGTATTGGAACACCTGAATCACATGATATGGAGGGGATTGGAACACCTGAATCATATGATTGGGAGGGGATTGAAACACCTGAATCACATGATTGGAGGGGATTGGAACACCTGAATCACATGATATGGAGGGGATTGGAACACCGGAATCACGATATGGAGGGGATTGGAACACCGGAATCACATGATATGGAGGGGATTGGAACACCTGAATCACATTATTGGAGGGCGGGGCCAATACTTTTGGCAATATTGTATATGATGAACAATGAGGCTCATTGTAAAAACAATAAAGAGTGATGATGATAATGGATCCTCCTGCGCTTCTATGGACAGTTCCCCCTCCTAGTGAGTAAGCTGCTGACACTCCAACCAATACCCTAATCAGTGTAAAAATCTGTATAAATTAGTGTAGCGCTTTAAAAAATGCCATAAATGCCATAAATAAACTATAAAAATATAAAATGAAAATGTGAATGTGACCAGTGCTGTAATCTTCACAGTGCTCTTATGCCACTAATAGCACTAAAACATAAACAAAACCAACAATATCGGAATATAAAGTATAAAATATAAAATGAATGTGACAAGTGCTGTGGTCTTCTCAGTGCTCTAATACCACTGGGTGAGAAATGAGACCTTAAATCAAAAAATAAAAGTGATAGTGTCACACTCCAAACAATAAATAGATCAATAAATAGCAAGTGACGGTGCCACTTCAACTTCATTCAATGTCCAATTTTCTCATTGACATTCATCTATTCGAAGTGTTCTTGATAACCATGCATAGTGTGTATAGATAGTGCCACACGTGAACCAACACACTTCTTATCCACTTTGGCTGAAATGCCTGCTCACCTCCTTCCTGCGACCCCAAGGGGCCCACAAGCCTTTAGGATCACCCTGGATCCTCAAGATTCCTGGTATTGGCACCTTCCTGATATTCCTCCTATCAGGTCTCCTCCACTCCTTCACTGCTATGCCTCCCAGGTTCCTCACCACCGGTTGTCTGCAAGCTCTCTCTCACAAAGACAGTGAGTGGAAAAAACAGATCCTCCATTGTGTAGTATTTCCAATCAGTAGGGTTTATTCATAGATAGTAATAACAGGTGACTTACATTCGGTTGTACAGTCTCAGTGTGTTCCTCTCAGGGTAAACTGCAACCTCTTAATAGTGACTTCCTGATAACCAGGAAAATGGCGTCCCACACCGGAAGTGCGACACTCCGGATACCGGAAGTAGCGTCTACGTTTTGCCTACGCGTTACGTCACGTACCTCGTGACTTCTTCTGGGTATCGCTATGGAGACGCTGCCTCCTTTTATAGTGCGGTGGAACCAACTATCCCGCCCTTTAATCCCATTCTAATTGCGGCCGCCATTTTCTTGGAGCCTATTTTGCAGAGACATACATAGTAATCCTCTACTATTATGAAAATCCTCTTGTAAATCCTAAGATCGCAAACTGACACATATAAAGGCTATCTACTACAGACTAGCCCCTACATAACACATCTAATACAACTAACTTTAATCATAATACATAATTAAAATCCATTTGGAGTATATAATAAAAATATATATAAAAAATATATTAAAGAGACCCCCATTAGTCTAAATGAGAGACCCATAATGCACCCTGGTCTCCCTATCCTATACAATGCCCAGCTCTATATTAAAGAGTAACTCCTATACTAAAAACTCAAGATTATGAGAATACATAAAGATGGTAGAAATTAGTAAAAAAGCCCATCTCTCTACATAACATAAGATTAATAAAATAAGATGTGAGTAAATGCTAGTGCTAAATATAATAAAAATCTTAAAATTATAAAATAGACATAAAAATATGATATATATGCACAATATACTCTTTTCACTAAACAGCTAATCAAAATTATATATATATACGGACTACCTGAGTATGCAGTTACCCCATAAATTACAATAAAAAGTCAATAACAGTCATAACTTAAAACTCGACAACCTAATCAGTTTAATAATCATTGATAAAGGAATTAAGATCAAACTCAACATTTAGGCCTCTCGGACTAGCGTTCTCATGTCATGTATCCAACGTGACTCAGCTTGGCTAAGTTGTTTAATCTTGTTACTGCCTCTCCAGTGCTTTTTTGTATTTCTCTATACCCCAAAACTGCATTTTTGTGGGGTCCTTATTATGATACTTAGAGAAAATGTTTTGAGACATTATGCTTTGGGAATCCCTTTAGAATATTTCTTACATGTTCTCCTATCCTCTTCCAAAGCGGTCTTTTTGTCCTCCCAATATATTGGTAACCGCACTCACACTGTAAGCAGTACACCACTCCCATAGTTTTACACGTGATGAAGTCTTTAATATTGTGTTCCTGTCCAGTAGTGTTAACTAAAAACTTTTTTCGTCTACCGCTTTTCGTGGTCCTACATCCCACACACTTTTTTTTAACATGGGTAAAAACCTTCTTCATTCAAGAAGGTTACTTTATTTCATTTGTGGGGGGTCCAATACACTTTTAACCACTCTGGATTTAATAGTAGAGGCTTTTCGATAGATGAACCTAGGATATTCTGGTAATATTGTTGTTAGCATAGGGTCCAACTTCAGGATATTCCAATGTTTATTGAATATTAACTCAATTTTTTTGTGATGGACATTATAGTCCATAATAATAGGTATATTATCCTCCTGGGTTGCTTCTCTCTTTTTTTCCCCCAGGAGTATATCTCTGTCCATATTACCTACCTCTTTAATTTTTTGTGTTATCATACTTTCTGAATAACCCTTTTCTACAAATCTAGTTGCCAGTCCTTCTGCTTGTTCCAAATAATCCTCATATTTTGTACAATTTCTCCTAACTCTTACCATCTGCCCTTTTGGAATATTGTACAACCAGGGCGGATAATGGCAACTTCCAATTGGAATATACCCATTCCTATCAACGTTTTTAAAGAATGTTTTCGTAATAAATTTGTCTTCTACTATTGCTATATTGATATCCAAAAAGTTGATCTGATCCTTACTGTGTTCCCATGTAAACTTGATATTTTTATTATTCACATTAAGTTTATCCAAAAACCTCATTAATGATTTTTCCTCTCCTTCCCATATCACTATAACGTCATCAATGAACCTTTTGTAAACTTTCAACTCTTCTGGACAATTATTGAATACTTCCCATTTCATTTCTTCCCAACATGACATGAAAATATTCGCCACACTTGGTGCGTATCGTGCCCCATAGCCACACCCCTTATTTGTTTGTAATATGTACCACTATACCAAAAATAGTTATGATCAAGGGAAAAATCCAGACATTCTAATAGGTATTTCCTTTGGGTCCATGTCAAACCACTATATTCTCTGAGTCCCCAATCCACTGCTTTCATGGCATCATCATGCCCTATAATGGTATAAAGTGATGTGACATCAGCACTCGCTATATATGTCCTGTTAGTACCTTTATATGTATCTAAAATTTGTAGTAAATGCTTGGTGTCCCTCAGATATGCTTTGGTATTCTTAACCACTGGCTGTAGGAATTCATCAATGTATTCCCCCATCCTTGCTAATACTGATTCTATCCCATTTACAATGGGTCTGCCCGGTGGGTTTCTCCATATTTTTATGTATTTTCGGGACAGTGTAGATTATTGGTATCCTACATAGATCCGGTACTAGATATTTGGACTCTTTCTTATTTAGGATCTTTCTTATCCACTCCTGTAGAAAAGGGTTATTCAGAAAGTATGATAACACAAAAAATTAAAGAGGTAGGTAATATGGACAGAGATATACTCCTGGGGGAAAAAAAGAGAGAAGCAACCCAGGAGGATAATATACCTATTATTATGGACTATAATGTCCATCACAAAAAAATTGAGTTAATATTCAATAAACATTGGAATATCCTGAAGTTGGACCCTATGCTAACAACAATATTACCAGAATATCCTAGGTTCATCTATCGAAAAGCCTCTACTATTAAATCCAGAGTGGTTAAAAGTGTATTGGACCCCCCACAAATGAATAAAGTAACCTTCTTGAATGAAGAAGGTTTTTACCCATGTAAAAAGTGTGTGGGATGTAGGACCACGAAAAGCGGTAGACGAAAAAAGTTTTTAGTTAACACTACTGGACAGGAACACAATATTAAAGACTTCATCACGTGTAAAACTATGGGAGTGGTGTACTGCTTACAGTGTGAGTGCGGTTACCAATATATTGGGAGGACAAAAAGACCGCTTTGGAAGAGGATAGGAGAACATGTAAGAAATATTCTAAAGGGATTCCCAAAGCATAATGTCTCAAAACATTTCTCTAAGTATCATAATAAGGACCCCACAAAAATGCAGTTTTGGGGTATAGAGAAAATACAAAAAGCACTGGAGAGGCAGTAACAAGATTAAACAACTTAGCCAAGCTGAGTCACGTTGGATACATGACATGAGAACGCTAGTCCCGAGAGGCCTAAATGTTGAGTTTGATCTTAATTCCTTTATCAATGATTATTAAACTGATTAGGTTGTCGAGTTTTAAGTTATGACTGTTATTGACTTTTTATTGTAATTTATGGGGTAACTGCATACTCAGGTAGTCCGTATATATATATAATTTTGATTAGCTGTTTAGTGAAAAGAGTATATTGTGCATATATATCATATTTTTTTTATGTCTATTTTATAATTTTAAGATGTTTTTATTATATTTAGCACTAGCATTTACTCACATCTTATTTTATTAATCTTATGTTATGTAGAGAGATGGGCTTTTTTACTAATTCTACCATCTTTATGTATTCTCATAATCTTGAGTTTTTAGTATAGGAGTTACTCTTTAATATAGAGCTGGGCATTGTATAGGATAGGGAGACCAGGGTGC